TTTTGGGGATAACAGTCTCGGTAATTTTAGGGATAAGGGATAACTGCCCCCAGAATTTTAGGGTTAAGGGATGCCTAAACCCCCCCCCCCCCCCCCCCCCCGCCCCATCATGTGTGTCTCGTGGGTACAACTTGGTTCCGTGTCTTAAAAGAATAAGGATTTCCTTTCTTACTTGGCGCCATAACTTATTTTCGCTTTAAGTAAACCAATTAATCTGTTTTTCCACCAGCCTAGAGCTCAGTCAACCCATGACTGCGTCAACAATCAACACAAAGCCAGTAAGTTATTGGCGCACGTCGCAGCGGTAAACACCCCATTTGTCTATCGCATAATCAATCAAATCCGACTTCCGTTGGAAAGCATTGGCAGATCATCTTCAAATGGAGGGAAATAAATTTTTAGAAACAAGAAACTTAAGTGCCATAAACATCTGATATATTTCCAAACCCCTTGACAACAACAACAACAATTTCATGGTTTCTACGGTTTGTAACTTTGTTGCCTAACGAGAGTCAATGGCCCCAGGGTCGTAAAGACGGCTTATCTCCGAAAATCGTTTCAAGTTGAAGTCTCAGTTTGCCTGAAAGAATAATAATTATATAAATAACATGACCTCAGACTACTTAAAACAACAGAAAGGCGAATGAGCAGTACTGTGCGCGATAAAAATGTCTGCTGTGACTCTAAACTCAAGTAAGACATTTATTTCACGGTTCTTGCAAATCATTTGTAATGAAATAAATCTGGTATTTAACCAAATTGCGATACTCTGTGTTTGTTTCACAATTCATGGGGAAGACAGAGGGGTAAGAAGTGTGAAAAATCGTAAACAGTTCTTTAGTTTGAAATTTTGACTTCACTTTGTCAAGAGAGCGGGAAGGAATGTTTTCGCGCGTGTCCTCGTGAACCAATAACAATGACCATATTATTATGCGTCTTAGAATATGACCAATCACAGCCCCGCTTTTATGGGCAGAGAGAAAAGGCGAAGACATCACGCCAACTGAGGACTGACTTGGTGAGACGGTTTGGGAAGGTTTTCGGTGTGTTTAATTAGGTTGTTTGTTCAAAGCAGTGTAAATGTACCACCAGAAGCCTTAAAGTGATACCTGGAAATCGAAACGGTGACACGATCGATTTGGCTCAGCGATCTTTCTTGGTGTTTTCGCGAACATGTCTCGAGGTTCGTTCAAGGTTCCTCGCTCGTCGAAATTTAAGCATGTATTTGGGAACCCTTACAAGAAAGACAGATGTTACGAAGCCATCAGATTGTCGACGAAATTGACGGAGGGAGGCAGTCTCTGTGCAGTAAACCCTAAATTTCTGGCAGTGGTGGTAGAATCGAGTGGTGGAGGAACATTTCTAGTTCTCCCGCTTGAACAGGTACGCTTGGGTTTCTTTAGCTTATTGTTTGCAAATCATTCTGTAGTTTGCATGACCTTAAAAGGCTATATGTATGCGTGTCGGTTTGCTGTTCAAATCATTACTTTTTTCACTGTTTGCCGAAACTTTTCAGGTAAACTCTATTTCGTTGTCAACATGGCAAAACGCCTATAAAATGTCGTGATCAATTCAACTCCAGTACGTTCCAGAACATAGCGTTACGTTTGGTACAAACTTGCATGATTTCTTTTCGTTTGGTTTAATAAAGGAGTTGATGTCTTACTGGCAGCCATATCGGCTGGTATTTGAGACTTCTGCTTAGAATTTTCTAGCTGTTATGATTTTGGAATAAAACTCTTCAGATCGACTTAGTTTGAGTTGAAATCTATTGTGTTTGTGTCAAGTTTTCATTAGTGACGCAAAACTGGTCATTATGCCGGAATTCAAAGTTCATCAGTTGCAAAAAAGAAAACATAAGCTTAAGTTGTTATCTCGAGAACTGATTGTTCCCACACTACTTCGCCATAAAGCCACAGGTAGACTGTAAGAATCCAGCTTGTTGGACGCATGATCAGAAACGATTTAATTATATGTTTTCACATCTTTTATATGCGAAACTGCATGCTAAGAACCTCCTATTGTATTTCAGCGCGACATAGCAAATTATTTTTGTTCTTAATGCTAATTTGCGTTCTCAAATATGTATTTTTTTGTAAGGTGTGATATTTAAAAAGTACTGGAGCGTGCAATCTGCTAAAACTAGTTCTTTGGGCGCTTCTCGAGAAAGCCGATCACAAGCACAGCTGTAGTTGAGTGATAATATATAGAAGGCTTCAAATTGTCATTCCACGGTTGGTTTTAGTGTCAACGTTTGTTAACTTTGCTCGCCATCATAATCTGGCTTCCTGTAATTACAATAATTCATAAACGTGAATAAATAAAAGGCCGCTTTGTTGTGGAATGATGTTCCTGACAGTTTATTTTCACAAGGTGTCGCTAAAATGGTTTTGGCTGATTGCAACATAATATTTTGATTGACTATGCAAAACTTTTTAAAGAGCTGACACACATACAGACAACTTCAACTAAGTAATGAGATGCTAAAAGCTAGTCGAAATAGCTAGACAGAGCTATGGTTTGCAGAAACCATTGTTGAATATATTTAGGATAAGAATATATGCATTTTTAAAAATTTCATACTACAGAAAATTTCACGGTAAATTAGATATACATTTTTTAGTCCGTCAGACCAGACCAGGGTATATAGCAAAAATGGAAAATCAATTCACAACAAAAATGTCACAAATGATAGAGTGCATTAAGAAGTAAGCATTTGCATGTTGAAGAACTTTGCTTATTAATATTGTCTGGACATGCAGTAATCAATACATATGTTTAGGCATCACTCCATCTACTACTTGACAGCCTCCCACTCTATAATTAGTGTCCTCTGCTACTGCTCCTCAAGTATGTAAAAGTTCATTAAAGTACAATGCATGTGCAGACACTATTAATGACAGTTTAGTTTATGAATTTTAATTTCTAGGTTTTATTGTATACATTATTGCTCCTGCCCATATCAGCTGGTTTTGGAGGTGAATTAGCACCTTACAATTTTGTCCACTCTGTGTTTGATGTTCTTAAAACAAATATTTGCACAAGAAACAAAGCTTTGAGGGCAAATATACTAAATAATATACATTAATGTACATTGATGTGCCAATATTGTGTTGGAACTTTGGGCACGGAAGTTCACATTATTTGTGGTCCGGCAAAGCTATTTGCAGAAAAGCACTTAAGATTATTTTGAAACTGGATTATCGGTCAAGTGAACTTATGGTCAATTCAGCCTGATAATCTTAGCCGTGTATGATCAGTACCACTAATATCAGTTCTCCATTTAACCAATAGATTCCACATTGCTGTGCATCTGTTCAGTAATTGATCACAGATGATGTCAAAATGTAGTGAACAAGAAACTGGCGGAAAAGCTATTAGGCGAGTTTTCCACTGATGTTCTTACCACATTTGGACGTCGTCTGGGATCTATTATGGAACAGATGCACTGCAATATGGAATCTATCTGTTTTATAAAATAAAGAAACAAAAAATGTTAAGGACATCATCAATACATCTGTGCTCCAATTGATCATAAGTAAGAACCAATCGAAATGCAACAATGATAAATAACAGTTTGGTCAACGTAGTATCTAATTTTTGTATTGATCACAACCAATAACATGCATTGTTATATTCCCCCAGCCCCTCCCCTAGATGGGATGTGCTAATCCGTGCAATCTGTTGTTCATTAATTCCACTAGGCTTTTAAAATGTATGGAATACTGAGATCTGAATTGTCTTCTACTGATCACAGGTTGGACGTGTGCCCATAGATGCTCCAAAAGTAACAGGCCATGGGCGGCCTGTGCTAGACATTGAGTGGAACCCTTTCAATGATCAACAAATTGCTTCCAGTTCAGAAGATAGCTCGATCAAAATATGGCATGTTCCTGATGATGGCCTGTCAATGGACCTTGATGAATATTTAGTTGATTTAAGGGGCCACTCACGGAAAGTCAACATTATTCGATGGCATCCCTGTGCAGAGGGTGTAATTGCTAGTGCTGCATATGACAGCGAAGTAAGAATTTGGGACATTGTAGATGACAGAGAAGCCGCGACAATTCTCAAGGGACATCCTGATATAATTTTTTCACTGTCTTTCAACTATAATGGCAGTTTACTAGCATCCACCTGTAAAGACAAGAAGATAAGAGTCATAGACCCCAGAGCTGGACGACTTGTGGCAGTAAGTACAGAAATAACTTTAAAAAGTAATTAACTCGTTTTAAGGAATTGTAACTTGGTTTAAAAAAAAAACGCAGTTGCTGTATCTGGACATGCTCCTAGTACAAAATGTACAAGCACCCTAGCAGGAAATACTTAACAGAATGAGACTTTCCTTTCCTGGAACTGAACTGGACAAGTTCTGACCCAACCTGTTCTCTTCATCTGTTCCATATCCAATCCATTTCCTTTCCACTTCTGTTCTGTGTCTATTCTGTACCTGTTCTGATATCATTCCCTCGCCATTCTGTATCTGTCCTGTACCCATTCGTGAACATGTTCCCTGAAAGGTTACTTATGAGTGTTGCTGTTCTTACATGTATGAGTTTCTGGAGGCGTGGAGGAGAGGAGGGGCCAATATTCCTTTGTTTGAGTCAAGAAAATACACTAGCTAATCAAGGGTTCTGACAATCAAAAATATGAAAATAAGTAGTATAACTTTTAAAGTTATAACAACTGAGACAGTGTTCTCAAAACCAGCCATCTGCCATCGCATCTAACAGCGACTTTTACATTTTTGTTTTTCTTTGGGTAAATTCTGTGATAAATAGTGATATTTGATCAAAAGAGCCAAGTGTCCATGAAAGAGTGTAAGTAAATAAATTATATTAAAAGTTTTTCTGGAATTTTGCTGCAACATTGCTTAATTGCTAAATTTGCTTGCATTGTTTAAGTTGATGGAACATTGTATAAAGGCTCAGATTGTGATGTAGAGAGTGGTTTCTAATGGATAGTACTCTTTACTCTGTATAAGACCAAATATTCAGTACCCAAACACAAGGCAAAGTGTTAGAAAAGCAACAGCTTGGGCCAGCAGAGCAGGAAAATTAAGGTTGTTCCAGGGAGTTATTTACTGTAATCCAGATATCGTAAATAATTTTGTCATAATCTTATTTTATCAAGGGGTAGCCAACTCTTTTACATAATACAGTGGAATCCTGATTTCTCGAACCGTCATTTTTTCAAACCTCTCGATAACTCGAACCAAAAGTTGTTTCCCTCTCCTCAGTCGAACACTGTAATTTTACCCCTGATTTCTCGAACTATATCCGATTTTTTGAACCAAAATTTTGTTTCCCTTGGAGGTTCAAAAAATCGGGATTCCACTGTAACTGTTTCCGAACAAGATTGTACTGTAAATTATCCTGTTAATGCATTTATCACCACCTATCTCTTTTGTGTCACATAAGGCCTTAGGGCATGCATAGATTTTGTTAATTCTTTGGTGGTTTTGGGACAATTTATGATTGAAAGGCAATAGTCATAAATGACTAATCTTAAAACCGAATAAAAATTTCAGTGTTTTTTGGGTATCTGAAATATCATATTTTGTGTCTCAAAATGCCGGAAAATGTATTTCTGAGAGTCTAGAATTTAAAAAAATGTCTGGGGGTATGCCCCACAACCCCTTCAGGATGACAAGGCCCAAAGGGCCTCGCAACTCCTGCTAAGCACCATGTAACTTCTCCTTTCAAATGTTGTGAAAACTCTGCGAGGACCACAGAGAAAAGTCCAGGCAATTAAAATGGCTGGAAAATCAGGATTGGGATGTTTTAGGTGTGGCTGTATATTTCTAACAGGAGGTTATGTTTAATTTTTTTAGCATGGTATGGGACATCAAGGAAACAAAAGCTCTCATGTTGTCTTTCTCGGCGACATGAACATGCTTTTTTCAACAGGATTCTCAAGAATGAATGAGCGACAAATAGCTATCTGGGATGTGGTAAGAATCCATCTCTGTTAGTAATCATCGTCATCATTATCATCATCATCATCATCATCATCATCATCATCCATCTTTTGCACCTGACGATTCATAAGGCCTCTACAGTATTCCTTCAGCTGGTCTGATGTTGTGTCACTTTATCGGCTTCCCTTTATGAGAGAGACATTCTTAATATTATCATTCAGCCATTGAGAAAACAATTTGCAAAGATTCATGAGGGTTTCTAATTCTTTTCAGTGATTATATTAGAGCTAGCACTCACCGTGACATTATTTCAGGCTGACTACTTTCAGGAAGCATTATATATCCCATTGAGTAGTTTGTAGACTGAGATGATTCAATTTTGGAAAAATGTTGTTGAAATTCTGGAGATTACCAGTATTTGATTCTTCAGTCCAAAAAAACAAACAACTAATGCATATGTGCAGAACCCAATGGACCTTTTTATCAATGTCATGCAATATCAACATTTTTTGAATTCGTATCTTTCATTTAAACAAAAACCACCTCAATAGATCAATTTGTCATGCCGAAAGGGCGTACATTTCTTTGTAAAAATTGGCAATTTTAAGTAGACTCTCTGATTGGTTATTTTCTCTCTAGATTGTCTTATTATTTATGGTACCTACTGGTACTAACCTAATGACAAATTGAATATATGGAAGTTTGTTTGCATACCTACCAAGGCCAGTTACCTGTTTCATTCTCTTATGGGTTTCTGATATTACTTAAACTTTAATTTGTAAAAAGTGTTGGTTTGAATATTAGTTTTCTTTTTCATCAGAGAAACTTGAAAAAGGCTATTAAAATAGATGCTGTTGATTCTTCATCTGGTGTTCTGCTCCCTTACTATGATCATGACACAAGAATTGTTTATCTTGCTGGAAAGGTATATTACTTTTTAACAGTGCTTAGTGAAGTCTGTCTGTACAAAGGTTTGATGGAAAAAGTGATTGTGGCTTTCCTTTAGATGGTGTGCATGTTTATCACTGCTAACTGCTATCCCCACAGAAAAAGAAATTACATTATTATGGTAAAACCTCGCTATCTCAAACTTGTTTATCTCAAACTCTCTTGTATCTCAAACTCAAATCATTTTTCCTTAAAATACTTTCTTGATGAGAATTAAATAGTTTACAGTACAAGCCTGAGGCCAGCACGAAGTTGTCTGAATCTCAAGGTTCACCAGTGGAATGGTAGAAAAGCCATTAACAAGCAATAAACAAAAATCCTTAATGTTGAAGTATCAGGACTGCAAGGCAAAATTTACTATTGGTTGTTACATGTAGGTGCGATAGTGCCTTGCACAGTTTTCTAAGCCTTTGAACCCAAACCTCTGTGTGTCTTGTAACAGTAAAGTGTTGATTGAGACATGTACATGTATCACTGTCTTTCTCAGGGTGATGGAAATGTCAGATATTATGAATTGTCTGATGCGGAGCCGTACTTCACTTTTCTTAATGAGTACCGCAGTTCATCTCCCCAGCGTGGTTTTGGTGTTATGCCAAAGAGAGGTCTTGACGTAACTGCTTGTGAGATCTATAGGTTTTATAAGTTACACAACAACAACTTTGTGGAGCCAATTGCCATGACTGTCCCTAGAAGAGTGAGTATTGAGTAAATGTCATTTACAGAGTAATACATCATTGTTAGTTATGTTTAATGTCCCAAGTAGACAAGGTACATCCCAACACCATTGGGAACTCATCCTTTAACCTAAGGTTGCCCACTGTTTTGTCATGGTCCTTTAAATCTCAGCTAGACTTCTTTGCTAACTCAAGGATACTCTCTGAGTCTCATCCTTATAAGTAACCAACCCATCATCTATTCTGTAACAGTTACATATAATTTCCCCACCCTTAGAATCAGAGCCTTAACTGCCAATAATGCGCTTTCCTCCTGCCAACCTTTTCCAAAGGATTGGCCCAATTTGAGGTGATTCTTATCTCAAAATTAATGTTAGTTCCTAGTGACCTGCAATATTAAGTACAATTTTTTTGTTCATTCACAGCAAACTGGCATAATTCAGCGAGACTTGTATCCATTAACCCCGTCAGATAAACCTTCCATGAAAGCTCGGGAATGGATCGACCAAGGTTTAAACAGAAACCCAGACCTTATGGACCTGTTGAAAGACTTTCCTCTTCAAGATGGTGAGACAGAAACTCGTGACATGAGATCAAGAGAGCAGAGAGAAGTTGCCAGTGCAAGGCAAATGGCTACCAGGTACACTGTACAAATAATTTGTTTCTTCATGCATATACAGACATACATTATGTACATACTGTACATAATTTAATATTACAGTCTCTCCAGGAAAACCGTCAATACCAGAGAACACTACCAGAATGTTTATAACTGTTTTGCGACCTATCAGATGTGAGAAAACACAAAAAGTAACCAGCAAACTGCAACAGTCTGAAAGGTTTGGATTAGTCATGACTTGACATGGTTTGTTAGCTACCTTTTGCGGTTCATCTCGCATCTGATTGTTGGCAAAACAATAAACACTCCATAAATTTTCTTTGGTGTTCATGGTTTTACTGGAAAGATTGTAACAAAGCAGGTTGTTACAATATTACTTTACATTAATTACCATTTGTTGTATGACAGGAGTCCAACTTCAGAATCACCACCGAAATCACCTGTAAGAGTTAGCAGTAGAAATGAAGAACGTCGTTCATCTGATACAAACCATGTACCGTCAAGAGGCCAGAATGGAGAGAGTGATATCCAGTATGTCAAAGCAACTGAAGTATTAAGCAGGCCTGACACCAAACACAAAGATCCTATTCAGGTGAGACTTAAAAATTTGTTTTTAATAAGATCAAAACAGTGATAAATTATTTCCGTTTTAATATGCAGTCAGCTCTCTCAAAACANATTTAATGAGATCAAGACAGTGATAAATTATTTCCGTTTTAATATGCAGTCAGCTCTCTCAAAACAGACAGCAGTGTAGGGCACACACCTCTGTAGATAAAAATGGCTGTCTGAAACTCGCATGTTTCTCTGTAACTGAGCTGTCTCTTTGTGGACTGAAGCAGACAGCTAGAGCCTTTCCCAAAATGTGTCTGTCTTAGGAAGGGTTCATTCCTTGAGTGTTAGTACATGTAAAACCAGTGATGTAGCTAACGATAAAGTAAGGAGGCTCATTGACAAGTTCAGCCAGTGTTTTTGCCTTGTATACCTCAAGAAGCACGGCGTTATGTGCCACTTAGACATGAACAGCATTATGCATTATGTATGTACATGTACATGTACGTACCTTAAGAAGTACTACAAGTCCTTGTTTGCTGGTGAAATTTCAGCTGGTGATCAACTTCCTTTCAACCAGTAAAAGCAGCTTGTAACCATCTCTCACCTACATCCCGTAAAACCTTTTCATTTCTATAAGTATTCAAATTGTTTTTGGTTCTATAATGTGTTCCAGGTAACAGCCAAAGCAGTGGTAAACAGTAGAGTGTCATCTCCAGAGAAAAGACGGACGGGTGGAGACAGGCGCTCAGGAGACTTTGCAAACTGGGATATCGACACTGTAGGTTACAACTTTATAGCATACTGAAACTGTCTTTAGTTACATACACGCGTGTGTACATACACTTGTACATGTAAATTTAGACAATCTCCACCAGACAGAAATGTGGAGAACTTCAAACTTCTGCTGCTCGTTAAAACCTTTTTTTTAAAATTGACGACGATTATGATGATGGCGATGAAGATGGCCAAATGTTGTTGCTATTATGGTTTCCTTAGTAGGGACACTTTTTTAGTATTTTCCTTTACACCTTCACTTATGCAGTGCTCTCTCAAAGGCAGTCTTTCTCTCATAGGCAATCCTTTTCAGAGGTAAAATGGGATAACTATATTCATACTTTGACTTTAGGTCATGTGTCATAAGCTTTTAAGTAACATTTTTTTAGGGGTGAGGTAGGGTGGTGTTGGGAGCGTTTGAATCACAGCTACTCAGTAGTTACTAAGCAATGGTGTCAAATCATTATTAGTGGAATTTTTGGAAATGATTGTGTAGTTTGTGTTTTAGTACATACAGAATACATGTAATGTGGCTGGACTTTTGTTGTGATCATGTTCTTTTGACAGTTACGACTGGCGTACAGTGACCAGAGAGAGGAGATCATCTTCCTACAGACACAACTTAGAGCCAGAGATGCCAAGATAGCACAACTTGAGAAAGAAAATGATTACTTTCGGGAAAAATCCCAGAGGTGAGGCTTGTTATTCATTATCATTGTTTCTGACATCCGTGTGCAACATTCTCGGCTACTGGTTTATTGGTAGGAAAATATTTTAGTGAACTTATAATGAATAGTGTGCAGGGGCCCGTTTCTCGAAGTTCCCGAAAAGTTTTCGCACCCGGAAAGCCGTAGTAAAATCTCAAACCTTTTGATTACAGAGCTGTTTTATTCACATATTCTTAATATGAACAGAAGTTCCCTTCATACAAGGAGTTTCAGGCGTATACACCTCTCTGTCTTAAGATAGAGATTAACTAAAACTGGCTTTGCGGACCCGAGAAGTTTCCGGGCCTTTGGGAAACGGGCCCCCGGTGCCTTTTGGTCTAGTAGTCTAAGTATTTTTCAATAACTACAAGTAGGTTTCGCTTCAGAAGTCACTCTAGACAACGAGTAGTTCTTCTTTCGCTTAGTGCGTCGTGCGTGATGCAAAAGAAAACCGCGAGGAAAAATTTTGTGTTACGCACGACGGACTTAGAAGCAAAAGAGGGACGACTCATAGACTTAAGTCACTCTTTGTCAACTTTAAAGCTAGTAAGATTGCTTTTGAACAGTAAAATAATCTATCACATTCATTTTAAACTGTGATTAAACCAATTTCGATAATGTAATTTGTTTTCTACTTTGAACTTTCAGGTTCTGATGCTGAGCAATGTCTAACACAACTTCAAAGAAAACGGTAGATGATTATAAAAGAAAGCGGTGTGTTTGGTTGTTAAATGACAAACAATCTGCGCATCTGTTAATTAAAAAGCTAACGGGCAGGTTTCCCTATCTATGTGTAGATGCTTCATCGAAATTTATTTCTGTGAAATGATGGTGGTCAGATGTAACCTGCTAGTGTTTGTCTTTATTTATGTGCATGTTTTTTAAAACTATTGTTATTTGTTTCTAGTTTGATATAATTGAGAAGAAAGGCTATAAATTCTCTAATCATTGCATTTGAAAAATTAGAAGACAACTCACTGATGTAAAGAGGGTAAAATCACATTGTAATTACGTTTAGGCAGCATTATCCTTTACAAATCAGGAAACTTGGAAATGCAAATGACTGTGTATAGCATTTGTAAATTGCACACGGCAGACTTTTTAGCTAGTATCGTAAAAAAAAAATCATTTCCATTACCGAGAGCTATGTTTTGTACACAGGCTAACCTGAGCACTATATAAGGCTAACCAGAGTGCTAATTAGGCCTAAATGAAATCTGCAGTCTGTAGATGTTTACAGCCTTTCAATAAAAGGCAAATTATCGTCCCAGAACCGTGAAAGGCAACAGATTATGTTGCCAAAAGCTCAAAACTTAGTTTGTTTTGTTTCGAAAAGGAGCAATGTGAAGTTAACACCTGGTGATTTCTCTTAATTCTACGGTGTATATATTAAGCCGATAATAATAAATTAGAATATAGATAAATTGCATGTGCAGTATAGACAAGAACAGTGGCTAGTAGAAATTCCACCATGCTTCCCCGCATTACAGTTTATTGATTTAAATTTCCAGAAGATTGGGTTCATTCCTTGAGTTTTCATGTCATAAGCTCTAAGTAGTAATTTTATTAACGGCTAGGATTAATTAAGGCTAATTAGGCTATTAAAAGTAATTTCATGTTTCAATCGGACCAAACCTTTTAATTCTGCAATAAAATGGTTTTTCCCAGTCCCACATTTCACACCTTAATGGCGCGAAATGTAAATTTGTACTTTAGTATATAGATGACACGTTGCCGAATCAGATTGCTTCAAAATTTCATGGAAAAAATATATATATTTACCACTGACAAAAGATGATATATAACCTGCTAATGTTTTGACTGAATATTCTTAGCAAAATGAAAGACATTTTCTCTGGAACTCACGTAGGAAATATGTAGTTGTTCTAAGCTGTTTACGGTTTCATGGTTGACTGATAAACAACTTGGCGCCAGGCTTCCTTCATAGGGGAACTTCTTGTTTAACAAATATTTTGCTTGTTTTTATCCAATCAGTATTGGATTAATCTGAGATAATTCAGGTTGGCATAAATTATTTCATTGTTTTTCCCAGAGCCGCATTTTCAATTAAATGCCACAGTTCGTGTTACTGAATTCCAGTTAAACCGAACGCTTTATTGAAAAGTTGAAATTAANCTTATGGGTTTCTGATATTACTTAAACTTTAATTTGTAAAAAGTGTTGGTTTGAATATTAGTTTTCTTTTTCATCAGAGAAACTTGAAAAAGGCTATTAAAATAGATGCTGTTGATTCTTCATCTGGTGTTCTGCTCCCTTACTATGATCATGACACAAGAATTGTTTATCTTGCTGGAAAGGTATATTACTTTTTAACAGTGCTTAGTGAAGTCTGTCTGTACAAAGGTTTGATGGAAAAAGTGATTGTGGCTTTCCTTTAGATGGTGTGCATGTTTATCACTGCTAACTGCTATCCCCACAGAAAAAGAAATTACATTATTATGGTAAAACCTCGCTATCTCAAACTTGTTTATCTCAAACTCTCTTGTATCTCAAACTCAAATCATTTTTCCTTAAAATACTTTCTTGATGAGAATTAAATAGTTTACAGTACAAGCCTGAGGCCAGCACGAAGTTGTCTGAATCTCAAGGTTCACCAGTGGAATGGTAGAAAAGCCATTAACAAGCAATAAACAAAAATCCTTAATGTTGAAGTATCAGGACTGCAAGGCAAAATTTACTATTGGTTGTTACATGTAGGTGCGATAGTGCCTTGCACAGTTTTCTAAGCCTTTGAACCCAAACCTCTGTGTGTCTTGTAACAGTAAAGTGTTGATTGAGACATGTACATGTATCACTGTCTTTCTCAGGGTGATGGAAATGTCAGATATTATGAATTGTCTGATGCGGAGCCGTACTTCACTTTTCTTAATGAGTACCGCAGTTCATCTCCCCAGCGTGGTTTTGGTGTTATGCCAAAGAGAGGTCTTGACGTAACTGCTTGTGAGATCTATAGGTTTTATAAGTTACACAACAACAACTTTGTGGAGCCAATTGCCATGACTGTCCCTAGAAGAGTGAGTATTGAGTAAATGTCATTTACAGAGTAATACATCATTGTTAGTTATGTTTAATGTCCCAAGTAGACAAGGTACATCCCAACACCATTGGGAACTCATCCTTTAACCTAAGGTTGCCCACTGTTTTGTCATGGTCCTTTAAATCTCAGCTAGACTTCTTTGCTAACTCAAGGATACTCTCTGAGTCTCATCCTTATAAGTAACCAACCCATCATCTATTCTGTAACAGTTACATATAATTTCCCCACCCTTAGAATCAGAGCCTTAACTGCCAATAATGCGCTTTCCTCCTGCCAACCTTTTCCAAAGGATTGGCCCAATTTGAGGTGATTCTTATCTCAAAATTAATGTTAGTTCCTAGTGACCTGCAATATTAAGTACAATTTTTTTGTTCATTCACAGCAAACTGGCATAATTCAGCGAGACTTGTATCCATTAACCCCGTCAGATAAACCTTCCATGAAAGCTCGGGAATGGATCGACCAAGGTTTAAACAGAAACCCAGACCTTATGGACCTGTTGAAAGACTTTCCTCTTCAAGATGGTGAGACAGAAACTCGTGACATGAGATCAAGAGAGCAGAGAGAAGTTGCCAGTGCAAGGCAAATGGCTACCAGGTACACTGTACAAATAATTTGTTTCTTCATGCATATACAGACATACATTATGTACATACTGTACATAATTTAATATTACAGTCTCTCCAGGAAAACCGTCAATACCAGAGAACACTACCAGAATGTTTATAACTGTTTTGCGACCTATCAGATGTGAGAAAACACAAAAAGTAACCAGCAAACTGCAACAGTCTGAAAGGTTTGGATTAGTCATGACTTGACATGGTTTGTTAGCTACCTTTTGCGGTTCATCTCGCATCTGATTGTTGGCAAAACAATAAACACTCCATAAATTTTCTTTGGTGTTCATGGTTTTACTGGAAAGATTGTAACAAAGCAGGTTGTTACAATATTACTTTACATTAATTACCATTTGTTGTATGACAGGAGTCCAACTTCAGAATCACCACCGAAATCACCTGTAAGAGTTAGCAGTAGAAATGAAGAACGTCGTTCATCTGATACAAACCATGTACCGTCAAGAGGCCAGAATGGAGAGAGTGATATCCAGTATGTCAAAGCAACTGAAGTATTAAGCAGGCCTGACACCAAACACAAAGATCCTATTCAGGTGAGACTTAAAAATTTGTTTTTAATAAGATCAAAACAGTGATAAATTATTTCCGTTTTAATATGCAGTCAGCTCTCTCAAAACAGACAACAGTGTAGGGCAGACACCTCTGTAGATAAAAATGGCTGTCTGAAACTCAAATGTTTCTCTGTAACTGAGCTGTCTCTTTGTGGACTGTAGCAGACAGCTAGAGCCTTTCCCAAAATGTGTCTGTCTTAGGAAGGGTTCGTTCCTTGAGTGTTAGTACATGTAAAACCAGTGATGTAGCTAACGATAAAGTAAACAGGCTCATTGACAAGATCGGCCAGTTTTTTTGCCTTGTACACCTTAAGAAACATGGCGTTATGTGCCACTTAGACATGAAGAGTATTATGCATTATGTATGTACATGTACATGTATGTACCTTAAGAAGTACTACAAGTCCTTGTTTGCCGGGGAAATTTCAGCTGGTGATCAACTTTCTTTCAACCAGTAAAAGCAGCTTGTAACCATCTCTCACCTACATTCCGTAAAACCTTTTCATTTTTATAAGTATTCACATTGTTTTTGGTTCTATAATGTGTTCCAGGTAACAGCCAAAGCAGTGGTAAACAGTAGAGTGTCATCTCCAGAGAAAAGACGGACGGGTGGAGACAGGCGCTCAGGAGACTTTGCAAACTGGGATATCGACACTGTAGGTTACAACTTTATAGCATACTGAAACTGTCTTTAGTTACATACACGCGTGTGTACATACACTTGTACATGTAAATTTAGACAATCTCCACCAGACAGAAATGTGGAGAACTTCAAACTTCTGCTGCTCGTTAAAACCTTTTTTTTATTAAATTGACGACGATTATGATGATGGCGATGAAGATGGCCAAATGTTGTTGCTATTATGGTTTCCTTAGTAGGGACACTTTTTTAGTATTTTCCTTTACACCTTCACTTATGCAGTGCTCTCTCAAAGGCAGTCTTTCTCTCATAGGCAATCCTTTTCAGAGGTAAAATGGGATAACTATATTCATACTTTGACTTTAGGTCATGTGTCATAAGCTTTTAAGTAACATTTTTTTAGGGGTGAGGTAGGGTGGTGTTGGGAGCGTTTGAATCACAGCTACTCAGTAGTTACTAAGCAATGGTGTCAAATCATTATTAGTGGAATTTTTGGAAATGATTGTGTAGTTTGTGTTTTAGTACATACAGAATACATGTAATGTGGCTGGACTTTTGTTGTGATCATGTTCTTTTGACAGTTACGACTGGCGTACAGTGACCAGAGAGAGGAGATCATCTTCCTACAGACACAACTTAGAGCCAGAGATGCCAAGATAGCACAACTTGAGAAAGAAAATGATTACTTTCGGGAAAAATCCCAGAGGTGAGGCTTGTTATTCATTATCATTGTTTCTGACATCCGTGTGCAACATTCTCGGCTACTGGTTTATTGGTAGGAAAATATTTTAGTGAACTTATAATGAATAGTGTGCAGGGGCCCGTTTCTCGAAGTTCCCGAAAAGTTTTCGCACCCGGAAAGCCGTAGTAAAATCTCAAACCTTTTGATTACAGAGCTGTTTTATTCACATATTCTTAATATGAACAGAAGTTCCCTTCATACAAGGAGTTTCAGGCGTATACACCTCTCTGTCTTAAGATAGAGATTAACTAAAACTGGCTTTGCGGACCCGAGAAGTTTCCGGGCCTTTGGGAAACGGGCCCCCGGTGCCTTTTGGTCTAGTAGTCTAAGTATTTTTCAATAACTACAAGTAGGTTTCGCTTCAGAAGTCACTCTAGACAACGAGTAGTTCTTCTTTCGCTTAGTGCGTCGTGCGTGATGCAAAAGAAAACCGCGAGGAAAAATTTTGTGTTACGCACGACGGACTTAGAAGCAAAAGAGGGACGACTCATAGACTTAAGTCACTCTTTGTCAACTTTAAAGCTAGTAAGATTGCTTTTGAACAGTAAAATAATCTATCACATTCATTTTAAACTGTGATTAAACCAATTTCGATAATGTAATTTGTTTTCTACTTTGAACTTTCAGGTTCTGATGCTGAGCAATGTCTAACACAACTTCAAAGAAAACGGTAGATGATTATAAAAGAAAGCGGTGTGTTTGGTTGTTAAATGACAAACAATCTGCGCATCTGTTAATTAAAAAGCTAACGGGCAGGTTTCCCTATCTATGTGTAGATGCTTCATCGAAATTTATTTCTGTGAAATGATGGTGGTCAGATGTAACCTGCTAGTGTTTGTCTTTATTTATGTGCATGTTTTTTAAAACTATTGTTATTTGTTTCTAGTTTGATATAATTGAGAAGAAAGGCTATAAATTCTCTAATCATTGCATTTGAAAAATTAGAAGACAACTCACTGATGTAAAGAGGGTAAAATCACATTGTAATTACGTTTAGGCAGCATTATCCTTTACAAATCAGGAAACTTGGAAATGCAAATGACTGTGTATAGCATTTGTAAATTGCACACGGCAGACTTTTTAGCTAGTATCGTAAAAAAAAAATCATTTCCATTACCGAGAGCTATGTTTTGTACACAGGCTAACCTGAGCACTATATAAGGCTAACCAGAGTGCTAATTAGGCCTAAATGAAATCTGCAGTCTGTAGATGTTTACAGCCTTTCAATAAAAGGCAAATTATCGTCCCAGAACCGTGAAAGGCAACAGATTATGTTGCCAAAAGCTCAAAACTTAGTTTGTTTTGTTTCGAAAAGGAGCAATGTGAAGTTAACACCTGGTGATTTCTCTTAATTCTACGGTGTATATATTAAGCCGATAATAATAAATTAGAATATAGATAAATTGCATGTGCAGTATAGACAAGAACAGTGGCTAGTAGAAATTCCACCATGCTTCCCCGCATTACAGTTTATTGATTTAAATTTCCAGAAGATTGGGTTCATTCCTTGAGTTTTCATGTCATAAGCTCTAAGTAGTAATTTTATTAACGGCTAGGATTAATTAAGGCTAATTAGGCTATTAAAAGTAATTTCATGTTTCAATCGGACCAAACCTTTTAATTCTGCAATAAAATGGTTTTTCCCAGTCCCACATTTCACACCTTAATGGCGCGAAATGTAAATTTGTACTTTAGTATATAGATGACACGTTGCCGAATCAGATTGCTTCAAAATTTCATGGAAAAAATATATATATTTACCACTGACAAAAGATGATATATAACCTGCTAATGTTTTGACTGAATATTCTTAGCAAAATGAAAGACATTTTCTCTGGAACTCACGTAGGAAATATGTAGTTGTTCTAAGCTGTTTACGGTTTCATGGTTGACTGATAAACAACTTGGCGCCAGGCTTCCTTCATAGGGGAACTTCTTGTTTAACAAATATTTTGCTTGTTTTTATCCAATCAGTATTGGATTAATCTGAGATAATTCAGGTTGGCATAAATTATTTCATTGTTTTTCCCAGAGCCGCATTTTCAATTAAATGCCACAGTTCGTGTTACTGAATTCCAGTTAAACCGAACGCTTTATTGAAAAGTTGAAATTAA